CGCGGTGTTTGATGAAGGTAACTACCCTGCTCACGGGTGTCGGGCCCTGGATTCAGCCTAGTCTGGTGTGAGTGCAGCTGCTCAGCTCCTACACTGCCTCCCAATGGTCTGAGCCTTGTACAAGCTCTGGAACCAATGTGCTCCTGGTGCAGGACTGCCGTGCCTCCTTCTGTTCTGGTGTAGGGAGACTTCTGCCCTCCCAGATTTCGAATCCCATGACCTGGCCTTGTTCTCATCACACAAGCTAAAGCTGTGGGGAGTAATGCCCTGTCACGTGCAGTGGTCATCACCACATTCAAGCAGAGCTGTGGCCAGGTCTGCGGTGGATTTCCAACAGGCACCACACATCTGACCCTCCCTGGATTTGGTCTTCAATAGTGTTTCACCCGAGTAGGAAGGTTTCCTTAAATTTGAAATACTCCCAAGTAAAAGCTGACTGCATTGTCCTCTCTCCACAGGGAAAAGCTGGTACTCTGATCCTGGCTCCCTGGCAGCTCCTGGGCCCCTACCTCACAACAGGACAGAGCAGCACACCATCAATGGCTACATAAATGGCTCACTGCCTGGTGAGTACTGGTGTGCTGGTGACACAGATGGGAGGTGCTAGGAATCTATGCAGCCAAGTCTGGAAACTCGAGGTTGCTTATGAAAGGATGTAAGAAGGGACATCAAAAGGAGTTTCCAGGAGATGGAACTGTTTAAGCTGGGTTCACCCCTGAGGGACTATCACATCTCAACTCCTTGATCTGACGTGCCCATTTACAGTGGTGTAGGACCTGTTCCTGGCTGTGTTGCCAAGTCCAGCTGACCATCTCAGAGGACTCTAGGAATAGTGCTGTTAGCAAAGAGTTTCATCTCTTGTAGCCCTGTGAACAAGACTAGAGGTGGTGTTAAGGGTAAAACAGCTCTCACTAGCCTGGCTCTGACAACACACCTCTGTAGGATTTAGGGAATAGAATCAGAACCATTTAGAAAAGACTCTTAAGATCATTGAGTCCAATCATAAACCTAATACTGCCAAATTCACCACTAAACCATGTCCCTAAGCACCACATCTACACATCTTTTAAATACCATCCAAGGATGGTGACTCAACCACTTCCCTGGTCAGCCTGTTACAGTGTTTGATAACTTTTTCAGTGAGGACTTTTTTCCCTAATATCTGATCTAAACCTTCCCTGGTGTAAATTGAGGCTGTTTCCTCTAGTCATAGGGTCATAAAATACCAGGTTGGAAGGGACTCTGGTCCAGCCTTTCTTTGCAATAGCATGGTCCAGACAAGTGGCCTGTCACTTGTTACCTGTGAGAAGAGACTGACCCCCACCTCGCTACCTCATAGGTGAGAAGGGTTATAAAGTTTCTCCTCAGCTTCCTTTTCTCCAGGAAAAATTGGCATTTGCTGATGTTCTTCTTGGAGAAGGTTCAGAGCTGCCTGAGTGGAGAAATCTCTAAGGCAAATTGGGAAACACTGTCAGGAGAGTCATTACCATCAGCAACCCTGGAGAACCAGACCCTGAAACTTCCCACCTGGGTCTGGCCATTCTCTGACAAAAGGCAAAAGAAAACTCCCCTGAATTCCCTGTCCTGGTGGGGCTTAAGTGCCGAGTAGATCTCGTGGTCAGCTGCTTGTGTCTGCACAGTGGGTTTCCCCTCAGGAAGGCATCCACCTTCACCCAGCAATCCCCTGTCTGGCTGGGGGACCTGGCCTGAGAGGTGTCTGATGGAGAAGTGGTAATAAGACCTCAGGTTGGAGCCCCCACACCGTCTCCTTCTGAGCTCCTGGGATCTGTTCCAGTCACCTATCACACTCAGTGCCAAAAACAAGTGCTTGCCTCTGTATTTTATGTTGTTTGGCTTCAGCTTCCAGGAATTTGTTCTTGTTATTCACTTCCCTGCTAGATTACATAGCCCTTCAGCACACACTAATTTCTCTCCAGGAAAACATTTTTACAATGCAGTCAAAGTCCTCTCCCATTTCTTACGCACACTGAGCTCTTTGAGTTTCTCCAAGGTAGGAATTTTCTCCAGCCTTCAAATAATCCCGGTGACCTCTCTCTGCCCCTTTGGGGATATTTTCAGCTACTACTGAGGATGTGCTGATGCCTTGCACCAGGTGCAGTGTTTTAGTATGAGGCTCACCAGTGCTGCAATCAGACAAATGATTCCTTTTTCCAGTTCCTGGTTCCCCTATTTATAGACTCAAGTAGCACATCTACCTACATCCTGCTGTGAGGTCCCATCAGCACACCTCCCAAAACCATTTCCAAAGTCCCCTGCTCTGTAAATCTAGCCTATCTCAGGAGGATCATGTGGCCTGCACCTCTGTTTTGCTCAGACAGTCCATATTCACATGCAGCTTCTCCAGCTTGAAGCCTCAGGGGCAGATGACTCGACTCAGCGTGTGTCAAGCTCCAAGTCCATGAAACTGAGAGTGGACACAAGGGGCGGATGCAGTTCTAACTCCTGGGTGCTTCTCTTCTGGCAGGTCTCACACTGTGCCTTAAGAAGCAGGTCCATTGGCATGTGATTGGCTTGGGCACTGGGCCAGAAGTCCACTCCATCTTTTTTGAAGCCCACACATTCCTGGTGAGAAGCCATCGTCTCAGCAGCCTAGAAATTTCCCCTGCCACGTATCTCACAGCTCAGACCGTGCCAGGAACAGCTGGCTGGTTTCGGATGTTCTGCCAGATACTGTCCCATCAGCAAGGTAACCTTATTCTGCAAGAGCTTGGGGAAAAGCTCAGGGGATGGCGTGGGCTCAGGGTTCTATGCAGTGCAGCAGCTCCAAGGCCGCTCCTGCTCCATCGTGTTACATCCATGTGCAATCTGGCCTGTGACCAGGGTGGAAAAAGTTGCCTCATGTGATCCTTTCTGCCTGGCTTATCTGAACCCAGGTGGCATGGAGGCGATTGTGAAGGTGGAGGAGTGTGTGGAGGAGCGCCTGGTGAAGATGGGGAAGCTGTCAGATGACCCAGAGGACATGGATTACCCTGAAGAAGATGAGGAAACATATCACGTGATCCAAGTACGCTCTTCTGCCAAAGAGAGGCCTGTGACCTGGACGTACTACATCGCGGCTGAGGAGATGGACTGGGACTATGCCCCGTCGAAGCCAGCGTCTCTGGACAGGTGAGAGTGGGCATGTATGCCCATGAGGCTGCTCCTCGAGGCAGCCCTGCCAGCTCCTTCCCTTTTCCCTAGAAATTTATTTTCCTTTTGCCTAAGTCAATTGGACAGTTTTGTTCTTCCTTGTTAATGCTATAGATGCAGGACAAGTATGTTCTTGGGGAGGCCATGGGAAGGCAGGATCTGGCTTTGCTTTATTTTACCAAATGCCCCTCAGAGGTATTTGCCTCTCTGTTGCCCAGGTCTCTGGGATCAGCCCCTTCTGTGCAGGCAGCAATGCCTGGTGAACCTTCTCACCCCCCAGCCAGGAGGCCCTGCATAGCCAGGGCATGTGACTGCAGCCCCAGAATGTGGGTGTCTTTGCCCTGTCTGGTAGGGCCTGTTCTATATGGCAGAGACCCCTACTGCTGCCCCTCTTCTTGGAGGGAGAGGTGGTGCAAGTGCTATGTCTCAGCAGATGTACCTTAGTCAGTCACTGCATGGATATGACATTTATCACTAGTCCCAACATCACTCTGGTGACACAGGCTGTCTGGGCTCAGGCTGGCTTGGTAGTGGGGTCACCAAGTTCTGCCCTAGATGATGATCCCAGCCAGCAGCCATGGGAGCAAAGCATGTGGTGCAGAAATTCCAACCTGCAGTCCCTTGCAGGACAAGCCAGGGGAGGTGTCCCCTACAGCTTAGGGCTGGCCTTGCTCCTGAGAAGGAGCTGGGATGATCAAGAAAAGGCAGATGCTCTGTTGCCTTCTACCCACATGCTGGGAGTGTTCCCTGACACACAACAGCTTGCCACGCTTTTAGCTCTCACAGTTACCACTTCCCTCCAAGACAGGACAGTGTCAGCCCAAGACTGGTACCGTGCAACCTAGTTGAACTTTTCTCCATTAAAGAAGCACTGAATCACTTGAAACAATATGCATCCTGGGGAATAATGTGATTGCAGAGATGGGTCTCTTCACTGTGCACGGGTAGTCCTTGGACAGTTGTGTCAGTCATTGGACAATGGAAGCCAGACCTTCACCTTGCTCTGGTTCTGACAGCGTCCCACATGTGACTGTTTGCTCTTTCTCTGCTTTGCCTGCAGAAATATCACAAGGCTGTTCCTGGAGGCTGGCCCTCAGCGAATCGGTTCAAAGTATAAGAAAGTGATGTTTGTGGAGTATGAGGATGCAACCTTCAAGAAGCGCAAGGTGTCAGATCAACTGGACAAGGGAATTCTGGGGCCTGTCATTAAGGGGGAGGTTGGAGATGAGTTTAAGGTAAGAGAGAGATTGCTTTCCACAAAGAGGGACTGAAAAGGGAAACTTCAAAACTTGATACTGTTCTTCTTAATAGTTCTTGGTTTGTGGCTAAGGTCTGACATAAGTCCTTGAGGTGCTCTATCATGTTTGGTAATGTCCAAAGTTCACCAGAAGGGCAGATGTTACTAAAAGCTAAAGCTAAATACCCTCAGTGAAGTCAGCGGAGATGCACAGGATATGGCCCAGTCCCCTTGATTTGACTTCATTGCAGGTGTCTTAGGTAAACGTATGAATTAATCCATGACACATGGCATCAGCACGTTCCTCTGAGGCAGGAGTGTCTTCTCATCCTCCACTCTTCTCTTTTGTGTACTCTTACCATACGGCATTGGGGTCTATCACTCACGTCTCCCCAAGTGTCTCTACTGACCACTTGACTTGTTTGCTACTGGGAGGAATGGGATGGCTTCCAGGAGTTTCACGTTTCTGCTCCCTCCCTGGGGTTCCCTGTTCAGTTGTGCGCATGGAGCTGAAGGTAATGCCTGTGGCAAAGCCCTGACAGAGCCATTTTGAGACTTAAATTAAGGGCTTCATGCAATGAAGTGGGGAGCACTTTGGAGCTCTCAGCTGCCGTGCATACTTATTGCCTTGGTCCACTTGAGGCCTCCTGGATTGACAGAACTCTTTGATCTCATATGCAAAGTTGAGACTAAAGACAGCAAGTTTCCTCTTAATAAATATCACATTTTCATGTCCTCCCTAAAAGGGGAACTTCCTGGAAAGATGGACAGTGTAGATTGTTGAAGAAATAAACAGCTTCTTCTATACTGACTCCTACTTTGTGGTCCCAGACATGGCCACAAAGACGTGTCCTTCTTATTGGACACTGGCAGGTAGAGAATCCCAGGGCACCACTGCCCAGTGTTTCCCTCCCTGTAAGGACACTCAGGGAAGCCTCATGGGCTCATAAAATTCAGAAAGCATTAAACATTCCTGCGGTCCATCCTCATTTCAGATAGTGTTCAAGAACCTGGCAAGCCGACCATACAACATCTACCCTCACGGCCTCACCAGTGTAAGGCCATACTATGCTATGAAGCGCTCTCAAGGTAAGGCAGGCCATGAGTATGTGGGACATTACTTGGCCATTGTCATTCTTCTGGGCCAGGAGAGCTTCCTGCAGCCTGTGGTAAGACTGGTTGTCAAAAGCCATCTATTCAAGTGCCTCAGCCCTGCAATCCTGAAGATGATAATGATTCTTGTTTCATGTTCTGCTGTTTTTAAGGAAGGCTTGGATGATGTCTGGAAGAAGGTGCATTGTCAGCCAGGAAGCTGGGACTATATTGTTTGTTCCATCCTGGAGGCCTCCACTTTCTAATGAGGCAGTAACCACTCTGGTGATCCTGCCTATGCTTGTCAGTTTGCTTACAGTCCTCATTCCTTGGCCACAACCCTGCCCTGCTTTAGTGCAGGGGGTTCATTATAATCTAGACTGTCCTTCTTGCAGCTTTGTGACTTTTGCTCTGGGGTTGCAGACTTACCAGGGCCCTTTCCCAAAACTGCTTTCATCCCCTGCCAGCATGCTTCCAGGATTACGACTTGTGCAGACATCCCACATCCCACCAGGGCAAAACTGTGCCACATCCCTGTCCTCTCCTCTCTGTCCTTTTGGGTGCATCACAATGATGGGAGCAATTGCAGAAGCTAGAGAAAAGCTCCTCTGCTGCAGCAGAGGTAGCAGAACCAGAACAGTAGCCACTAAGGAGTTCAGTGGACCAGGTCAGCTTTGTGACCTATTACTATCTAAATTAAAGGTTTCCTTCAGGAGAGCCAAAAAGGTAAAGGCTGGCAGAACTAAAGGAGCCAAGCCAGATGAGGGCTGGAAGCCCTGTCCTTGCCCCTCTGTCAACATCCCCCAGCCAGATATAGCTCACCAGCTTTGCCAGCAATTCAAGTCTATGAAAGGAGATGCATTTCAGGGCAGTATAAATAATTAGAGCTATTCCTACCCCAACTTTGCAAACCATGTTTACAGTGGCTCAGCTGGGCACTTAAAGCAGAGAAATGTCTTCTCCTAAGGCTATGTCAGTGGCAGGAAAAACTCAGAGCATCTATTTGGACTTGAGTTTTCCTTCTATTCCTTCCAGATCTCCTCTTTAGTTTTCCCACAGTCTAGCTGTATTTGCTAAAAAGTGTACCTTTCCTTGCTTTGTTTTTCACTCATTTCAGCCCTGCCCAGCTCTGTACATTCATCTGCACATTCATCTGCAAACTCCTGTAGGTAGCCCAAAGCCCAGACGCAGATGAAACTAGCCAAATTTTCCAGTTTTCATGAGTTTCAAGGGCTATCAAAATTATGTACATGCCTCTCCATCCTCACTTTGTCCTAGGGGCTCGTTCTGTCCATATCAACTTTCCATGCAAGTGCATGCTAGCAGCCAGTTTGCCATCCCACAGTGGGCATGGGTCTGGGTAGTTTTCTATGCAACTTATGTGGTCAGGAAACCTCATTTTTGAGCTCTTTTAAAAAGTGGGATTACTCCTTACAGGAGCAGCCCCAACATAACTGATCTGCCCTTGGGCTGTGTATTGCCAGATAAAAATGTGAAGGACATTCCTATCCCCCCTGGCCAGTCATTCACCTACAGCTGGAGGATCACCCCTGAGGATGGGCCAACACAGGCAGATCCTCGCTGCCTCACCCGGTTCTACTACAGCTCCATCGACCCCGTCCGAGACACAGCCTCAGGACTGATTGGACCCCTCCTAATCTGCTTTAAGAAGTCCATGGATCAGAGGGGAAATCAGGTAGGTCCTTCCTTTGTTGCCTCAACCGCCAGGTTGAAAGGCTGGAATAACTGTGGTGGGTGAAATACTTGGGTAAAGTCAAATTAGTCCGTCCTGCACTCTTTAACCTTGCCATCAATCTCAATGCCTCTGTCTTCCCCATCCTCCCTTGCACACTCTCTTCTCTCCAAACCTGTATCCTAGCTCCTATGAAACAGCAATAAACTGTTCCTCATGCACCTAGGCTAAGACCTGGCAGCTACACTGGGCCACTGGGTCGCTCTGGTCAGGGCAGGAATAGCTGCTTCCCTCTCCATCTTCCAGATAATGTCAGACAAGACGAGGTTGGTGCTGTTTTCAGTCTTTGATGAGAACCGCAGCTGGTACCTGGAGGAGAACATCAGGCGGTTCTGCACTGATGCAGTCCATGTGGATATCCAGGACCCCCAGTTTTATGCCTCCAACAGGATGCACAGTGAGTGCTCAGCCAGGGCCTCCCTGCAAAGTCCTGGCAGACACAGGCTAAACCCTGCCTCGGGGGACAGGCAGGACCTCGGCAGCCACGGTGGAAGCAGGTCCTGATGAAATATTTCATCCCTGCTCTCTTCCAGCTATTAACGGCTTTGTTTTTGACAACCTTCATACAAAACTCTGTCTGCATGATGTTGTGTACTGGTATGTCCTGAGTGTTGGGGCCCAAACAGATTTCCTCTCCATCTTCTTCTCTGGAAACACTTTCAAGCGCAACATGGTCTTTGAGGATGTGCTTACCCTTTTCCCATTTTCTGGAGAAACAGTCTTCATGAGTTTGGAAAAGCCAGGTTAGTAACATGGGCTATTCTATAAACTATAGGCTTGGCATCACAACAGAGCTAACAGCACACCTCAGCTAGGTCTCTGGTACCCAACTGCATTTTGGCAGCCCTGAGAGCAAAGGAACATACAACCTGCTAGAACAGCAAAATGAGAGGCAATGATAAACCTTTCTAAAGCTTAAATCAAAGAAATTAAACTACTGTATTTTACTTCACTAATAAGGTATATTAAGGTCACACATGCTGCTAAGCCAGGAAGATGGCTGCAGTAATGTAAGCCCCATGGACCTTGCATCCTCACCCTAGACTCCAAGCTCAGAGGTCAAGGGGAGTGGCAGTGCTGTCACTGCTGCAGGTTCAGCCGCTGGTCATGGCATCCCATTTATCTCCACACCTTTGCAAGGACAGAAATCACAGCCATGGAGAAGTCCTAGGAAGAATTTGCTTCAGAGTTTGATTTTATTTTCCCCTACTCAGAATTTTTTTCCTTAGCATGTTGTGGGCTGGAACACCTCACTTAAGAGGACAGGCTGAGAGAGCTGGGTCTGTTTAGCCTGGAGAAGAGAAGGCTCCAGGAAGACCTTATTGTGACCTTCCAGTATCAGAAGGGAGCCTACAAGAAAGCTGGAGAGAGGGACATTTTACAAGGGCTTGTAGTGATAGGACAAGGGGGAATGGGCTCAAACTGGACGAAGGTAGATTTAGATTAGGAATTAGGAAGAAGTTCTTCACTATGAGGGTGGTGAGACACTGGAAAAGATTGCCCAGGGATGCTGTGGATGAGCCATCACTGGATGCGCTCAAGACCAGGGTGGATGGGGCCTTGTGCAGCCTGGTCTAGTGGGAGGTGTCCCTGCCCACAGCAGGGAGTATGGAAGTAGATGATCTTTAAGGCCCCTTCCAATCCAAACCATTCTATGATTTGCAAAAGCAGTGCCATTAACAGTTTCCTCACTCACAGAGGAAAAATAATTTAGCATGTGATTGCAAACACTGATATGATAGTCACAAGCACTGCACCATGAGCTAAGATGACAGGCCTTCTAGATACCTCGGGAAGCTTTCTAAAACCCAGCCAAACATCGTATCTGTTTGAGCTCTGATTTTCACCTGATCTGAAGTGGGCAAGCAGCTCAGCCAGCAGCAGATGACAGCTCTCTCCAGCATGAGAGCCTGGTTATTACACACCTCCTCACCCATTTTTGACACCTGGAGAAGAGGCACTCGCTGCAAGGAAGAAACATTGGCTGGGGATGTGAGCAAGAGGCAACCTCTTCATTTCTTTCTCCTTGAGTGGTAGTGCCTGGGAGAGAGGTGTATGTGACAACACCAGCATGTCTTTGAGGGTGGTTTATAATGATTACACTGATGGCAATAACCCTAGAGGTTCTTATGGGTTCTCAGTTCTTCACACCAATCTACTGCTGGGGCCTTGCATGTGTCTGTGGCTTGCTAAGCTCTCACAGGGACCACCGACCCTGCTGATGGTGCTTGTTCAAACTGGCTCTGATTTTGCCAGCAAACATGATGTCTTGTGAGACCAGCTGTAAGATACTCTAGGGATTATGAAAACATGAAATCACTACCAGGAACCAGAGACTGCCTGAAAATATAGGTTGCACTAGTGAGAGAACATCTTGGGGATGGCAATTTGTCTTCTTTCCCATTGTGGTGGGCTCATGGTGTTCTCTTGTCGTTTCTTGAGACAGGCATCTGGACACTGGGGTGCCTGAATCCTGATTTCAGAGACCGAGGGATGCATGCCAAGTTCACAGTCTTGCAGTGCCAGCATGAGCAATATGCTTATGGGGAAGACTATGTCGATTTTGAGGAGGAGGATGCTTTTGACTTCCAACCCAGGGGCTTTTCCAAAAGAAAGATATGGCACAGGCCATGTGTGAATGAGCAACTGAACAATGTCACCTCTTCTAGAAATGAGACAGAGAAGCCAAGATTGTGCCTGACAGACCCCATGCATGCACCCCTCCTGAACAGTGACAGGAATTCTGACCCCACTTCCAATGGCACATCAACACTTCTAGGAACAGCCCCACATCCACCTGGTATTTTCATGTCTTCTCTGCCAGAGACAAACTATGAGCCAGTGTCCTACGAATCCTTCCAGGAAGATGAAGAATTGTCAAAAGCCATCAGCCAGGAAGAAAGATTTGGAGCTCTCCCACCTGGAGAACACTTAGTGAGTCTCAGTGGAAGGGTCCATGGCACTGTGAGCTCAGAAGAAGGTCGGCAATGGCTGCACCAAGCCACGCCAGCTTCAGAAGATGCTCTAGCTGGAGAGAAGGTGACAAAAATTTCAGAGGTGGAGGAGCCAGTAAAAAAGACAATGGTCCAGTCTGGTGGTACATTAGAGATCCTGGAAGCAGAGCCTCAAAAGACACCTACTCATTCAACAAGCTTGTGGAACTCAATTGCTTATGCTGCTAGCAAAGTTTCTCTTCAAGAGAACAGGAGGTCATTTCATCAGAATGACCTGGAGCACAATCTGGGACTTCAAGACACTTCGTCACAGGATGTTGAGAACAAGTTGCCAGGAGGATCTGATAAAATATCCTTAAATCTATACGAGTCAAAGGAGACAATTAATACAGAACCAGATTTAAGCACTGATCATAACTCTTACTCCACACTGGACAATCCCTCTGCATCTTCAGACAAGACAGAAGACAACAGGACATCTCATGCTGTGGTTCACAGTCACACCAGAGAAAGCAATTATCCACCCAATGAGCTAGATGCTGGGCTGGCAAAAAGACCTAACAAAGTGGTTTTGCAAGGCTCTCATGAATATTTCGAAGGGAAAAATGTTTCTTTCTCAGACCTGGGACCCAGAAAACCTGTACAAGAACAACTCCTCACAGATGAGAGTAACTCCTTGCCTGAGAAAAGCAGCAGAGAACAAGAAGGTGGTGAACTTGCCAAAGGCACAGGCCCTCTAGAAACCACCTTGGCACACATCAACGACTTTGAGCCTTCCAGCTATATAATGACAGAAGAGACAGATGAATTAATCTTGGAGGCAGTGTTTCAGGATGCTACAGCTGCTAAGGAATTGCCAGAGATGGACAGTCTTGCCTTTCCTGAATCAAACGTCACAGCCAATGACACAAGGCAGTTCCCAAATGCTTTAAGCAGTCCTGAGCAGTTTCTGAGACAAAGAGCTCCAGCCCTGAGCATGCGTGGCCCCAACTGGAGGCCTCGACAAGCCAAGTCACTGGAGAGCAGAGGCTTGCTGTATGGTCTGGATCTTCCCAACACCAACTGGCCTGGCAGCAGAGAGCCCCCTTCTGAGAGCAACAGAGCAGAGCAGGATCTGGCCAGACAGACCCCTGAGAAAGCACTGGATAAGAAAGCCCCAAAGGCATGTGGACCTCATTTCCCTTTTTGTAGTGCTCACTTCAGAAAGAGGTCCCTGATATCAAGTGACAGTTTGCCTGAGGTGACGGTAGCCCAGCAAAGCCTGGAAGAAAAATCAAACATGGTTCAGGGGAGACTACACCCAGGCAGGGATGCTCCACAGGCTCTGCTTGGAGATAGTGCTAACAAGATGCAGCCTGAGGAGAGGCCAAACACTGGTGGGAGTGGATGGAGCAATGATGAGGGAACCCAGTTCAGCAGACGCTCCTCTCCCATGCGGGGAGCACTGGGGAGCACCACGGCCATGAGACCAAGCAGCTCAGACATGCTAAGTGCTGTGGCTGCAGACCTGACCTCAAACTCTAACCCGGTCTCCCTAGATGCAGCAGGGCATGCCAGGGGCTTTCAGAGCCCAGCTTTGGCCAAGCTGCAGCTAGGCAGAGGTGCTGCCTGGGGGGCTCCTGGGAGCATGCAAGCTCAGCAGAGAAAACAGATGGAGGAGGAGACAAACTCTGTGGAGCAGCTGGGTCAGTTCAGTCCTGAGTCTCAGCAGCTCAAGGCCAGTACCACAGAGGACTATGTTCCTGAGAGCACACCTAGGCAAAGCCCAGAAGAAATCCCTGTGAAACCAGCCTCCAAAGAGAACTATTCCATGTCTCCAAGCAGCCCTTCTCACAACCACAGCACCACCAAAATAACAGCCAAATATGTACAAGCTAGTCCAGATGGATGGCAGGTGCTCAGCAAGGAAGATGTCCTCAACGAAACTGGGAAGAGTGAGCACCAGGGTCTAGGAGAGCCCAAGGAGAATGGGGAAAGCAACAGCACAGCTGGGAAGATGAGCCATGCCCCAGGACACAGGGAGAGACCAGCTCTGAACAACATGACCCATTCCAGCCCCTCAAATCCAAAGGCTGACAAGCTGGACTATGATGAGTACGGGAACACAGAGCAGACCATGGAGGATTTCAACATCTATGGGGAAGAAGAACACGACCCACGCTCCTTCCAGGGAGAGGTACGGCAATACTTCATTGCAGCAGTGGAGGTTATGTGGGAGTACGGGAACCAGAGACCCCAGCACTTCTTAAAAGCCACGTAAGTGTGACTGTTCCTCATGTATTCCTCCTGCACTGCACGCTGGCATGTTCTGGCAGGCAGGATTAAAGGTCTATGACTGTATGACCCAGCCAGGCAGTCCAGGGGAGGGATACTGCCAGTGCCTTCCTTCCACCTGGGGAGTTAAACTCTAGCAACTTTGAGCTTCCTCATAAGTGGGTCAGGGATGCTCTGTATCACCCCTGCCCTGCAGCGGCCCTGCCACGGCTGCCCTCCCTGTGGGACAGTGTCACCTAACTTGCCTAACTGCCCTCACCCCAGCAGGGACCCTGGAAGGGGCAGGAGGAAGACTTCCCGACAGTACCGCAAGGTGGTTTTCCGAGAGTACATGGACAATTCCTTCACACAGCCACTGCTGCGGGGAGAACTGGATGAACACTTGGGCATCCTTGGGCCATACATCAGGGCAGAAGTTGAAGATGTTGTCATGGTGAATGAAAGTTCTTATTTCCTTTAAAACCCGAAATTCCCCCATTGCTGGCTGTGCTCAGCCAGAGGGAGTGCTGAGCTGGGTCTGCAGACACTGTGATGCCCATAGGTTCACCGTCAGGGCCTGAGGGCACAGGAGCTGCCCCATTGGCACCCTATGGATGTATGTGGATGGCACCAGGTTGGGAGGCAGAGCAGTCATTCAGAGGGACCTCAGTGGCTGGAGGAATGGCCTGGAGGAACCTCAGAGTATTCAGATGCAAAGCCCCACACCTGAGACAGATCCAACATCTGCAACAGCACATCCCGAGCAGCTCCTGGGCTCCACGGGTGGCCTTTTGGTTGAAGTGATTGTAGAAAGGGTAATAGGCTAAGGGTTCAGTACAGCTGCTTGGGGTGCTCTCTGTGAGGGCAGACTTGGGCTTCCCTCACCACCAAGAGTCCTTCAGTACCCATCTAAGGAAGAGGTGAAAAGCTCAGGAATTCTGTGCCTGGAGAAGTTGCACCATTTTCACTGAAATCTTCTCCAGGATGGATTCAGCACCTTTGGGCTCCAGAGACAGTAGTGAATCTGACCTTGCTTCCACTGAGCAGGGAGAGGGAGTCTTACTGCTGACATAAACGGGATGCGACATAACCGGGATGCTCTTTCCACTGGGGATCACACTGCATAGCCACAGCTTGTTGGCTCCGCAGGGGTTAGCCACTGTATGAGGCCCAGCTGGAGGTCTGGGCACTGGGGGCACAGGACTCCCCTTTCTGTCAGCTGGCTGGATCCAGCCCCAGGATCCAGGACACTCAGTGCTGCACCTGCCCCCCTCCCACACTCCCTTTGCTTTGCCTTCCTTCCCGTGCAGGTTACGTTCAAGAACCTGGCCTCACGTCCCTTCTCCTTCCACTCCACGCTGCAAGCCTACGAGGAGCCCCGGGGCGCAGTGGAGGGCGGGGAGGGCGTGCAGCCTGGCGAGCTCCGCAAGTACTCCTGGAAAGTCCTGCCGCAGATGGCACCCACCATGCAGGAGTTTGACTGCAAGGCCTGGGCTTACTTCTCCAATGTGGACCTGGTAGGTGGGAGCCTGTGTCGTGGAGCACCCCAGGAAGGAGAGGTGGGCAGCACACCTGATGGGCTGTGAGGTCAAGTCTTTTGTTACGGTGCTGTCCTGAGAGCGGCCTGTGGTGGTGTATATTCTCAGGTGTCTAATATAGTGACACCTGTGAGGAATGCATACTGGTATTTTCTCTCTTCCTTTCTCCTAAATGCTTTTTTCCCTTTTCTCCAGTTGTACCAGCTTATGAGACTTGTGGGGAGCTAGCATTCTGCAGTCCTTTACCCCTCTGCAAAATCTGGCTGAATTTGGCCCATGGGTTCCAATGCTAGTGATACAGGCACTGTTGGACAGACAGGCACGACTTCTCTTGAAAGCATGTGCAAATGCTTGCTCCACAGTCTTTCTTAGCTGGGGGCAGAGTGTGGATTCCCCAATGAACCCAGCATGTCCTTTCCACCCTGCACATGCCATGCCTTGTGCATGAGTGGGAGCGAGGCCATGGATGCAGTCAGGGCCATCACTTTCCTTGTTGCTGTGCCACTTTGTGGGCATCAGTGCTGCCCCCTCCTCCGAGGCAAACTCTTCCTCTCTGGCAGGAGAAGGACCTGCACTCGGGCCTCATTGGGCCACTGATCATCTGCCGCCCAGGGGTGCTGAGCTTCGTTTTCAGGCGGCAGCTAGCTGTGCAGGAGTTCTCCCTGCTCTTCACCATCTTTGATGAGACGAAAAGCTGGTACTTCCTGGAGAACATGGAGCGAAACTGCCGGCCTCCTTGCCACATCCAGCGAGACAACCCTGACTTTAAGAGAAACCATTCCTTCCACGGTGAGGTCCCTTGCCCTTGCCCTTTCCATCCCACAGTCTATGCTGGGATGGAGAAACCTTGGAGCCTAGAGCTGCTGCTGACTGCTGTCTTCCCCAGCCATTAACGGTTACGTGGGTGACACGCTACCTGGGCTGGTGATGGCTCAGCAGCAACAGGTCCGATGGCACCTCCTGAACATGGGCAGCACTGAGGATATCCATGCCATCCATTTTCACGGACAGCTGTTCAGTGTCAGGACTATCCAGGAGTATCGCATGGGAGTCTACAACCTTTATCCTGGTGAGATGCAGTGCAAGCACTGTGCACATCCTAGCTGATGGGCCTTCATGTCTATGCCCATGAAGTGCCAAGACTGCAGTGGGATAGCAAGGAGAAAGAATGGATCTGGAAGAATCTGGCTCTGTGTTTGCACTGGGTTTGGCACTGTCATCCCATTGCAGACAGTAACTCTGCTCTGCTCTGATTTCCATTGCTGGCCAGGTGTCTTCAGGACGGTGGAGATGCGGCCCTCACATGCTGGGATCTGGCGGGTAGAGTGCAAAGTGGGAGAGCACCAGCAAGCTGGGATGAGTGCTCTTTTCCTTGTGTACAACCCCAGTGAGTTATTCTCTTTGCACCTTGACCCACTTGCTGCCGTGGTGAAGTGCTGGGGTCTAAACCCTCAGCCCTGAGCCGCAGTTGACATACAGAGGATGTCCACAACCAGGCAGGAAAGACCCTCCTGACTGGGTTTCACCCAGGGTCTGGCCAGCCTTGGGTGGGAACTGATTAGGAATTAACCACCAGGTGCCCTGCCTTTAGCACAAACATCATGTCCCAGCATAAAGGCTGGCTCTGCTTGTAGTGAATGCACTATGTAGGGTTACACAGGGTTACTGGAGGGGCTTCCTGCCTCCTCTTGAAACTGCTGAGTTCCTAGCAATGGTGGGACACCAACACAACTGGGAGCAGAGGGAGGATTACATCTGTAATAATGACACTTTTTCTGGCATTGCTATGTGATCAAAATTGGATCGGTCATCTGGCTTCTAGGTCAGTGTACTCCTGTATTCACTTCATCCTACACCATGAGTAAATGTATCAATCTCTTTGTTCCTCCAGTGGTTAGCCACCTCATATCTTCCATGTGTGATTTAGGATCAGAGGGAAAGGTCTGGCCTGTGTGCTATTTATTGATGGTAGTGTCCTTCCTACTGGTGTATGCAGTCAGCAAAAGGCGTGGCCAGAGCCACATGTTTTTGAGTTCCCTCCTCCAGGTCTCTCAGTGTCTGCCCTGGGGTGGCTCAAGGTGGGGGTCTTCTGGGTTTTCACTCTGAAAGTCACAACTTCTTGTCACAACTTCTTGTCACCCTGCACAACTCAGCAGAGAGAACAGTGATATGGTTGGGTTGAAGGCTGTTTTCCAAAATTGAAGGTTCCCAGACCTCCTGTAAAATGCACTTACCTCAGCAACTGTGTGCATGTGCTTCGGGAAGGTAGAGTACCTAGCTGCTTAACCACAAGTCATGAGATAAACTGAGGCGTGGAGTGATGGTAGGAGGCAGTGAGAAACACTGCCTGACTACAGTTTGCTCTGATAGAAACAACCTCAAGAGCAACTGCAAAACCCACAGGAAACCTCTGACTCCATTCACCCCTGAACAACATGTTTCTACCTCATTGTAATTAAGCATTGGGGAAAGTGTTTTGTCAGAGTAGTATTCTAACACACTGTGACAGCCTCTCTCCTCTTCCTAAAGGAGCATTAAATGCCAGCCAGAAAACGTTTCCATAAGTTAAAAATCTGTGTAAGATTTCAAATTTGCATTATCCCCAGAAGCATTTGCAGTGGATATGCCAAGATGTGACAAGTCACTAATAATAACAGTTACGAGAGGCAAACAGCCCTGTGCTCGGCAGACCAGAAGAAAGATACTGAGAGACAGGGCTGTCAAGTATACTTAAGCAACATGATATATGTTTTTAAAAGATGCTGCCTAGCAACAGAAAGGCCTAGGAGTGAGACATGGGTATAAAGAAGAGACACTTACCAGCATTGCTGGGAGATCAGGACATAGGAATGAGAGGTCGGGGACGCAGGGACATGAGCTTGGCAAGAGACTGCTGTGGCTGATGCTGGGAACTCTGCTGTTGACATCAGAGTTAGGAGAAAGAACTTCCAGCACCCCTAAAATTCAAGGATGGATGTGAAGACATCTGAAACCCACCACTTGGTGTGAGACAAACAACCCTGGGGGCTTTTGCAGGCTTGAGACAACCTCCCTGAGCCTGGAGGCTTCTACACAGCCTAGGCTTTGCCTTCAAAAGCCCTGTTACCTAATCAGTTTTCCCTGATTTTTATCCTCCTTCTCCCTGTTTGGCTGCAGACTGCCGAAATGCCCTTGGTCTGGCCTCGGGCCACATTGCAGACTCCCAGATCACAGCGTCAGGACAGTACGGTGAGTAGGGGCTGTTGCTGCAAGGAAGACAGGTGAGGTTGGGGCAGCTTTACTCAATACAACTCGCACGTTTGCCTGCCCAAGGCTCTGCTACACTGTGATCCTAGCAAAGTCCTTCCTTCATCCATGCCCACATCAGTGTTCCGCTTGGGATATTGAGCTGTCTTCCCACATGTCTATCCCATCATGTCAGTGCTCTGCCACCCTTTACACGGCTACTAAACCCTAGGGTGATCCTCAGGCCCCACGCTGCAAATGAACTCCCCAGCTTGGGCTGAGCAGTGCCCTCATATCTGTGTGCTCTCTTCGCAGGGCAGTGGGCTCCTTACCTCGCCAGGCTGGACAACACTGGGTCCATCAATGCTTGGAGCACTGACCACAGCAGTGCCTGGATCCAGGTAGGAGGGGCCCTGTGGCTAGAGGTACTGCTGGGGACATTGCAAGGGCGTGCTCGTGACTGATGCACTGGGCATAGATCGCCGCTGTCTCTTCAGCTACATCCTGCTATTTCCTCTGCTTCCCCTCGGGGACGGGCGCTATGAGATCCTAATGGCAGTTGGTTTGGCCGTGGTTGCTGCTGGCGTGAACCCTAGATTCATCCTCAGTGCAGCAGAGGGATCACTTGGTAGTCTGCCTGCAGCATCAGATTATGCAAAAATCCTCCAAAGACCAAGAACATCTCGCCTCTCCAAACAGGTCTTCCCTGCCCTTTCCCAGCTGTTGGCTGACCTGTGCCCTTGTGAACAGCTATTTTAACTAGCTGCACAACCTGTGCTCACTTATGTCATCAGGAAGCGAATTCCATCGGCATTGCCTGAAAATAGCTTGGGTTTTTGTCAGAAACTAATCCCTGACTTTCGTTCTCAGGTGGACCTTTTGCGTCTCATGATTATTCACGGCATAAAAACCCAAGGGGCCCGACAGAAGTTATCGAGCCTTTATGTCTCCCAGTTTGTTGTCTTCTACAGCATCGATGGGCAAAGGTGGAGGAAATACAAAGGGAATGCCACCAGCACGCAGATGGTAAGGTGAACGGGGTTCTTGAGACTGTATCTTTCCAGAATGGTGTCTTTTGTGGTAATGAGGGATGGGAAGCTCTATATACAAGGCAGAGATCTCCTGAGCCCCTGAGGTATTTCATTAGGGAAGGCACAGTGAGTATTCACTGCCATGATGACTGAATCAGAAATCACAGATGTGAAAGGGACATCTTGTGTGCCCATCTGTCTCATTTTAAATTGACTGAGCTATTTCCATGATCCCAGCTAGCTGCAAGATCCACTGCTTAATGTTATGTTGCCTGTCACTCAGAGCTAGGCATAAGATTTTGCTTGAATCTATTTTTTGATGCCAAAGGCAAATTTTTTTTCTAAAAACACTGTCCAGATGCAAATGATTTGGGGATCTCTACTTGTTAGAGAAAAAACAAAACAAAACAAACAAACAAACACACAAAAAAAAAAAAAAAAAAGGAACAAACTCCCTAAATATGCATAAGTCGATTATTCCAGCAGGAGAAGGAAAAATATACAGAAAATCACGTGCACCAGCTGTAGCCAAAACTTTTCCCAGGTTCAAAAGTCCTAGGACTGACTTTTTTTCCTTCTTTTTCTCCTCTCTGTTTGTTGAAAACATGTTAATTTGCACAGACCCGAAGTTTCTGCTCCGTTTCCCCACTAATCCTTGCCTTGTCTAGTTCTTTTTCCACTAGCACAACAGTCCTTCTCCTCCCTTTCCCTGCAGCTGTTCTTTGCAAATGTGGATGGAACTGGAGTGAAAGAAAATCGCTTCAGCCCTCCGATCGTAGCCCGGTACATCCGCATCAACCCCACTCACTACAGCATCCGGAGCACGCTGCGCATGGAGCTCCTCGGCTGCGACCTGAACAGTACGTCCCACCTCTGGATGCCAAGCACCAAAGCCAGGGCCTCATCCAGTGCAGTGCTTGGTGCCAGCTCCACATTTTGGTACTCCCTAAACAGTTGTAAAGGGGGAAGGAGGAGGCTGGAGATGGCACTGAGATATTGGGGGAACAAAACTAGACAATTTCATTATGGTCTTAGAGATAGCAGGAGCAGAGGGAGAGCATCAGGTCAGCTCTCGCCACTGCTTCTCCTTAAACTACCATAAACCTTCAGCAGCAGTTAAGCTGAAAGCTGGGGAGATTCTGCCTCAGTCGGGGGGAGCAGGCAACAAGCAGAGACAGATGCTATTGGCTTTTCCTCTATTTTTTGCCACTCCACAGCAAGACTGCTCTGGCCCACAGCATGACCGGGGGCAGAAGTGCTCTGGGATCCTTTCTTTGGCTTTGCATGCCAGCAGAGCAGGCTCTCCAGCAGCTACGAGCAGCAGTCACTGTGCTGTCACTCCGTGCCACAAGGCTGCCAGTGGGCTCTGAGGCAGCTGTGCACATGCATGCCTGATCACAGTGTGTGCAGGGTGTCTCCCTGCCAGGCATTCTTGTGATTCCTATGTCCTGATAGATGCACAAATTCTTCATATTCCTCCTAGATAAAATCTCCAAGGAGAAAAGAAGGTGGAAGTAGTGGCAGGTGTAGTTTGGCCCTCCCCAGCCAGAGCCATGCTGCGCACAGGGACCCTCAGCAATGCAGGGACCATGATGCTGCAGCAAAGTACAAGAGAATCTGTAACCTGGGAAAGTGCGTGGAGGGTGGCTGGAGCAGTGAGCAGCCAGAAGGCATCTCCATGATGGATGTATTCTCTCTGACAAGCATTCCTCCTCCCTTCCAGGCTGCTCCATGCCCCTAGGAATGGAGAACAGAGGGATCCGTGACGAGCGCATCTCCGCGTCCTCCTACAGCACCAATGTCTTCTCCAACTGGTCACCCTCCCACGCCCGCCTGAACCTGAAGGGGAGGACCAACGCATGGAGGCCAAAGGTAGCCCATGCAAGGAGGTTCCCAGACAGGCAGCTGGGACATGGGCAGGCAGGTGGGATCCCAGCAGGCAGGCTGGATGCTTGCAACCTGTCCTAGCCAGGGCTGCATGGGGAGTGTGTACAGCCATGTGTGCTGGCTTCAGCTGCAATGAACATGTCCTTCTCACTGCTGCTGAAGGGTTGAAGGCACTCTCTCCTTCCCCAGAGCAACAGCCCCAGCGAGTGGTTGCAGGTGGACTTTGAAGCAACCAAGAAAGTGACTGCAATCATAACCCAAGGTGCCAAAGCTGTCTTCACCCACATGTTTGTGAAGGAGTTCGCAGTCTCGAGCAGCCAGAACGGTGTGCATTGGAGCCCAGTCCTGCAGTATGGCAAGGAGAAGGTAGGTAGAGCTGCTCCCTGCCCAGAGGCAGCCCATGGCTACTCCTGGGACAGCAGGCCTTGGCAGTAAGCAGGTTCACTCCTGTGAACCTGATTACTGCAGTGAGCAGTGAGCCAGCTGTACTGTGCTTTTCCCTCTGTATAGTGTTCCCAAGTGGTGCTTGTCTGAGTTGATTGTGCCTTCAAGGCATGGGCTCACTCTCATCCGAGGAGAGCACATTGCTGATTTTCTCTCCTCTCCAGATTTTCAAAGCAAACCAAGACTACACCAGCACAGTGATGAATACCCTGGAGCCCCCGCTCTTTGCCCGCTATGTGAGGATACATCCTCGTCAGTGGCACAACCACATTGCCCTGCGGATAGAGTTCCTTGGCTGCGACACTCAGCAGGAGTACTGACAGCTGCAGGGCAGCACAGCCTGAGGACCCACATCCAGCTGGACACTGAAACCTCACCATGGGTGGAGCCAGCCCTCCAGGGCCCTGGCTACTCCTGCTGCTGGGGAGGAGAAAGCCTGCAAAGCTGTTGCAGTGGTTGGCTCGTTATCAGCCTCTCCCTGTCCCTCATATACCAGATGCCATATAGTCAGACATAATGCTGAAGAATTAAACAGTGATTTTCTGTTTTCTCTCTGGGTCCCCAGGGGCTCAGTCAGCATTACCCGCAGCTAGTAAATAATTAGCCCCAGAGTTTCTCAGCTTCATTTTGTAGCAGCTCCCACTGCCCAGGCATAGTCCTTGAGGAGGAGGAAGCAGCAAAGGGATGGAGGAGGAGGCCCTGCTCCAGGTCCCAGCATCATTTCACAACTGGTGGTGATCCGTGACTTAAGGGAGGAAGCACTTGCTCATCCTGAATCAGCACTGGGCTTTGGCCCTCCACTTCATTTCCTTCCCATGATGCTCCTGCTGCTGTGGCTAGGTGCCATCATGCTGCTATCCATGGCTGCCTCTGTGCTCACTCACCAGAGAAGCTCTGTACGTGTCTCTGGCTCCCAGGGTCTCTGTTGCGACGCCGCCTTGCGACGCTCCCCCAGGAGATGTGTCACAGGCTGAAGCCATCTTCTTGGCACAGGTAGCTCTCCCCCTCCCTGTCATCTGCCCCACACAGTGACAGACGTTTCTTGTCCCAGGAATGGCAACAAGCAGGGTGACACTGGCTCCCACCTCATGCCTCTCATGGGTTAGGGACCTTTCAGAACAATGGCCACCTCACAAAGGCCTGGAGCACCTGGCAGGCTGTGGAGCAGGCAGAAGGTCATGCCTGCCAGGTAGCATGCTTCTCCTTCATGGCAGTGGCAGCATTGTCATCACTGCCAGCTCGTCCCCGAGTTAACCCCGCCCCAGCGCTGTGAAACCTCCCTTTGTGGCGAGGGAACAGGCAGCCCCACAAACACCTCTGCAGGTGATGTGGGGTGGGGAAAAGAGTTATGAGGGGACTCTGGAGAATGGCAGGGGTCAGCCAGATGCTGGCTGCCATCACAGCGGGATGGGCAGCCAATCAACAGCTAGCAAATGGCTTGTGAATTCTCCCATCAGGGTCAGGTAGTCTCTACTCACACCTCATAGAGATGTGGCCTGGGACAGCTCTGAGAGCTCTGCCAGCAGCACCAGGGGATGGTCGTGGTGGGGGCCCCAGGGCCCTGCCAGGAGACAGTGTAGTTGTACAAGTAACAACTGCTCTGAGTCACTCAGCTCCTACTCGCCCTCCGCTACTCTGGGCTGCACACAAACACTCCTCCACAGCCTGTGTCCATACAAAGCATGGCCATGAGCTGCAGACCAGCCCAGGAGCATGACCTCTTCGGGAACCCACATCCAGCAGAGATAAGAAGCCAGTCTCTCAAATGAAGCAGGGCTGAAAAAGTCTCATACAACTGCTGGGCTCCATGTTGCTGTACAAGGAGTCTTTGCTGTGGCCCTGGCAGTGAATACATTACATCCCCAAGCAGAAGATGCCATCACTTTGGCTTAATTGCATTCTGACAATAACCAGGCACAGATATGAGGAGAGGCCACCTGGCAACCACTAGCCTGAAGGGAGGAATTGGAGCCATATGCTTTTCAAAGGAGAAAACATCTGCGTGAAGCAGGGTAGCCTTCAGCCTGGAAGGACAAAACCTTCTGCCTTGGGCCCTTCTCAAGGCAACTTTCCTCAGCTCCAAGGGAACAACTTCTCTCCTGAGCACAGTGGCCAGTGCTGCACGAGGACAGCTGGCTGCAGTCTCTGGGCCAGCAGTGCAGAGGAGCATCCCAGGCATGGTGAAGGGCCTGATGGCAGAGAGAACAGAACAGAGACATCAGCTCAGCCCTGAGCAGCAGCTGGGCTGCAGACAGCAACCCACACACAGCCACTGAGGCACTGGCCCAGTCCCCAGCATTGGTGCCCTTGGACAAAGGCAGGTATCTGCACCCTCTGGCAGGGTACACCAGAGGTGTCAGCAAGGACAGAAAGGCCTACCTCTCATATTGCAACCAGCTCCATGAGGAAGAAAAGATGGATCATAGTTGGAGATGACTGTCTTCTGAAGGGAGGAGAGGTTCCAATATGCTGCTCTTCAAGAAATCTGCTGCCTCTCTGGGGTCCAGGTTAAGGAAACTTCCTAGTTTGGAATGGCCCTCAGACTTGTTACTGCTCTTTCATGTGAGTGGTGATGAAGCCACAAGGCATAGTCCAAGAGCAATTAAAAGACACTTCAGGGCATTGGGATGCTTGGTGAGGGAAAGTGGAGCACAGGTTATTTTTTTCTTCTCTCTTTCCAGTTGTAGGCAGTGACACTGGAAGAAACAGACAGATCTGGTCTATTAATACATGGCTCCATGGCTGGTGTCACCACCACAGTTTTGATTTTTTTTGTTAATGGGCTGGCCTACATGGCACCAGGCTTGCTGGTGTCAGATGGGATTCACCTTTCTCAAAGGGGGAAGACAGTCTTTGCTCAGGAGCTTGTGAAACTCATTGACAAGGCTTTAAACTGGACTTGACAGGGGATGGGGATAATACCAGCCTTGCCTGTGACAAGCTGTGGAATGACATGTCATGGTTAGAGGGATGGGGTGCTAGTGAGGGCCCCTAGCCTGGTGCTGTGGACGCTGCAGCACACTTGAAGTCTTACTGAAATGAGCCAAGGGCTCCTGATGAGGAGCCAACAGGGAAATACCAGTGAAACACCTCAAAGCAATTAAGGAGTGTTCCTCTAAGAAGGTGACACGGCCAACAGTGCGGCTGACATGTCTCTACACCAATGCATACAGCATGGGCAACAAACAGCAGCATGGTGGCTTCCAGTTCCTCCTAAAAGAACATGACATGGTTGCCATTACTGAAACTTTGAAACTTGGTGGGATGAATCACATGACTGGAGTGTGGCTATCAGTGGCTATAGGCTGTTCAGAAGGGGCAGGTGAGGAAGGAAGGGCAGAGCACAGCTCTCTATGTCAAGAAATAGCGTGTGAAGAGCTGTCTCTGAAGAATGGCCACGAGCAGGATGAAAGCTTATAGGGAAGAATCAGAGGCCGAGGTAACAAAGGCAGCTTTGTGGTTGGTGTCTACTCCAGGCTGTCTCACCATGAGGAGCCTACTGAAGTCTTCCTACTCCGGCTTACAGGGAGCTTCTCATTTGCAGGCTCTCGTCATGCCAGGGGACTTCAACCACTCCAGCATCTGCTGGAAAAGTAGCACGGTGAGCTGTAGGCAATCCAAGAGGCTCATAGAATGCATGGAGGACAACTTCTTAAACCAGATAATAGACAGCCCTATGAGAGGGGATACATTACGGAACCTTGTGGTCACCAACGCCAGTGAGCCAACTGGTGACTTCAACATTGGAGGCAGCCTGGGCTGCAGTGATCACACGCTGGTGGTGTTCACAGTCCGGAGGGATATGGGTCAGGCAAAGAGTAAAGACAGGACCCTGAATTTTAGGAAAACAAAAGTCCAGCTCTTCAAGGAGTTAGTAATAGAATCTCAGAATCACAGAATGGTTGGAAGGGACCTTTTACTTTCTGCACCCTCAGTGTGGTACACAGGATTTAGCAGTGACCCTGGTCTGCATACCAATCTTTGGTAGTAACTCTAAACATTGAATGTTATCACAGCTAGAAGCAGACACTGCAAAAATAGGCCATTAACTTTGGAAAGTGCAGTTAGAAGAGACTTAGCTGAAAAGTAAAATCACTGAACAAGAATTAGTTCTGTTCTAACTCACCCCAGGACAGTTTCTCATGCTCTGTACATTTGCATAGAAGCATTTAAGTTGAGCCCCCACTGAAGCTAACTTTTCTAGACTTCTATTATCTTGCACTTCAGGTGCTCTCTTGCTGCCCTGTGATCCTTGTTGAGTCCCAGGGCATCCATGCACTCAGAGCAGGATGGATTGAGGAACCTTTCTCTCAGCAGTTTAAAGCCCTCTTTACTAAATTGGCAAGCCTATGTCCAAAGATGCTGTCTCACTTCTCTGAGAGATGCAACCATCAGGCTCCAGGAGACCAGGTTTCTCAAAGTGAGTCCTGTGGCCCAAGTAGTTGGAGCCCTGGCTGTGAGACCATTCCTGTAACCATTTATTGATTTTTTCCCAATTTGATTGGTCCTTTCAAGCCCCTTCTCTCTGATCAGGAGGACTGATTAAAAGAATACCTGCACCCCTGAGTCCTTCACCACTGCTCCCAGGGCTCTGTAGTACCTCTTGATACTCCAGATTGCTCCTGGCTGTATCAGGGGTTCCCATCTGAACCAGCAGTGGCAGAAGTCAGTGGACTGTGCAAGGTCTGACAGTCACTCTGGGACATCCAGTAGTGGCTCAGCTCAGTAACTGGGTGTCTATGTACCTCTTGGAGGAGAGTTACCCACCAGCTGCCCTGTGATCCTTGTCTAGTCGCAGGGCATCCACGCACTCAGAGCAGGATGGATTGAGGATCCTTTCTCTCAGCAGTTTAAAGCCCTCTTTACTAAATTGGCAAGCCTATGTCCAAAGATGCTGTCTCACTTCTCTGAGAGATGCAACCATCAGGCTCCAGGAGACCAGGTTTCTCAAAGTGAGTCCTGCGGCCCAAGTAGTTGGAGCCCTGGCTGTGAGACCATTCCTGTAACCATTTATTGATTTTTTCCCAATTTGATTGGTCCTTTCAAGCCCCTTCTCTCTGATCAGGAGGACTGATTAAAAGAATACCTGCACCCCTGAGTCCTTCACCACTGCTCCCAGGGCTCTGTAGTACCTCTTGATACTCTTCAGATTGCTCCTGGCTGTATCAGGGGTTCCCATCTGAACCAGCAGTGGCAGAAGTCAGTGGACTGTGCAAGGTCTGACAGTCACTCTGGGACATCCAGTAGTGGCTCAGCTCAGTAACTGGGTGCCTATGTACCTCTTGGAGGAGAGTTACCCACCATCACGTGTTGCTTTTTT